ACGCTTTCTTTCCCTCTACATTGTACGCTTCTTCTCCCAAAAATGCAATTCCTATTTTTCGTTTTTATTTTATGCTATTGACTGGGGAAATTAAAACATGTTTTTGTGGCATATATCAATTATTGTTTTGTGTCATTTTTTTACCATGTTTTATTTTTGTTGGTGTTTTTTAATTTTTAGTTTATAATGTTATAATACTTGTGGTCATTTATCTCTCCACAAACAGAGGTAGGCCTACATAACAGAAGAGTGTGGGCAATGATTTTTCCTTTTTTTCTTTTATGAAAAAACTAAGTTATCTTTATTTTTCCCTTTTCCTATTGTTTTCTTTCTTAACCATGTTTGTGTCATTTTGCATACAAATTTAACAGTGTTTCCCTTTTTGTCTGACTAAATAAAGCACCGTATTTTGTTTTCAGCCTTTTTGCTATACCAAAAGAATGCATAACTTGGTGTTAATTAGAAGCGATTGGGTTAATTGTTGGAGGTGGGAAGGAGATATAATAATAATAATAATAATAATAATGAGTGAGTTGCGAAGTTGAAAGTTTGTCTCCAATCATTTAGAAGGTGTATTTGTGTGATACTGAAACTATAAACATGGTTATCCCAGCAGTAAGAAAGGTACACGGAGGAAGCTTTTTGTAACACAGCTCCCATCAGAACAGTGAGTTGTCAGAGAGAGGAGACTTCAACACAAGTTAGAGAGCTACAGAGGTGGTCCAGGAAGAGATTACTTACTGATTTTCATCTCATTTTTGGTGCAGACAGAACGGTGGGAACAGAAAAAGGGAAAGATGATTAGAAAGGAAAGCAATAAATTAATATGTAGATAGATAGATACATACATACATACATACGTGGACACTGGTGCAGAGAATCAACCCCTACAACTACAAGTGCAAATCAAAGAGATATAATTAATGCCATTATAGAGAAAAATAGCAGGTAAGGAATGGGGTATCTGCATTCTGCAATGCCTCTATCTATATGGAATATGGTACGGATATACTTACTATATATATATAGCTTCATTTTGCTTCATAATTGCTCACAGGGTACGCTTGCTTGCGCACGTTTTGCACTTTGCTAGGTTTATATTAATAAATAAAAAAGTTTTAGTGGAGTTATGGCCAAAACGCCAAATGGGGTTCCAAAAGTTGGAGCCACTACACTAATCAAGAACAACTATAGTAATGCTACCTCTCAGGAAGGTCTACTTCAGTTGCTAAAGTTGTTTGATGCGATTGTAGTCCCAATTTTCTGCCTAGTTTCCTGTCTGTCTCCCCCAAACAGAGAGCCATGAGAGAGATCAGAGATTCACAGAAACAAAAGAGACTTCGCCATGCATGGTCCCCTGCCCCTTTCATATGTCAGAACCTATCAAAAGATTTATGTAGATACTAAGAAAATATATACTTTTTCTTACTTTCTGCTCATCTAACTTTTATATTTAATGCATGCCATTCTCACTCACATACATAATAATGCCACACCTATATCCCTTCTTTATCCCTAATCCCTCAACATCTTTATATATTATGCCTTTCAGCTAGCTTGTTCAATGCCATTTTCTTCCTTGCATGAAATCAGATTCTGCAATGAATCACCCAACTACAAAAATTCATAACACCAAGGAACTAACTAAACCAATTTCGTTCTGTTTGGGTAAGCTTGTATCCACTTTCCTATGTTACTTAAACTTGTTTGAATGTCAGTTCGTTTATGGGATTACACTAGCTAGTTATAAGCACAGTATTTTTTAAATAATATTTTTACAACATACACGAACGTGGATGCCTTTAGTTCGCACTGGTTTATGTTGTTCTAATTCATACAGATAAAGACAGATCAAATGTGGTTGTACTGGGAGCTAGACCGAGTTAGAATCAGAACTTCCAATTAATCAAAAAGTACAACCAAAAGCAAAGTTTAAGATATTTGTTTATATATACTAATTGATCTATGACAAAGAGTACTAGTCGTTTTTCGGTAAACTGATTATCTTCACTTTAGATTTTAAAGGCACTGGTTTGTCAGAAGACGGGGTTAAAGGATGTAATTGGACAAGTATTCTCGAGGATAAATATTTATTTATATGGAATTAAAATTCATAATAAATAAATGTCAGTAGTACATATATAACATTATGCTTTAAGTTTATAATAAACAGATTTTTAAAATTATAAAATATATTTTAGATTTACGATAAACAATTTAAATTATAATACGTGTTTTTTTTAATACTTGACAACTTAAAAAGACTACTAAAATTTACTTTAGAAATTAATATGCAGACAGAGATGTATGGGTGTAAACTGAAAAATATAGTTAAAAAATGTAATTTAGAATAGTTGAAAGAATTCTGCTAACTAGTTGCGACGTGAAATGTACTTATAAATCAAGGAGAACAAGGATATTCTCATTATCTAACTGAGATAGAAAGTTAAAACTATATGTTTTCATTTACGATATTAATTAGAGTACAACATTTCTATATTTACATATACTACATAATCTTTGTTTAAGTAACAAAGAAAAGGAGAAAATATAACATCTGTTTGAAAGATATAATTTATGCCAATTTGAACTCCTGCACTATATAATAAGTTTCTTAAAAAAAAAAAAGAAAAAAGAAGGTGATTTAAAAGTGTTGATGATAGTCCAGACAAACATAGGAAATAATCTGATGCAGAAATGTAACAGTGTAAGTTTGATGGTGATAGGTGGATAGGTAAAAATCATTTTGACTTTCAAAGTGACGAACTTTTCTTTCTGGTGTCTTGAAATTAAAAAATATGAATTATAGAATTCTTAAGAACACATTTGAGAGTTTTATTCAAACACATTTTGCCTAATGATTAATATGACGTCCTGAGTGAATAGTATATGTATTGATTAAAGGGTGAAGTTTAGTTGAGGGTAAGTTAATGAATCTGGTTTCCATGATAAGAAAGAAAAAGAAAGAGAAGAGAGAAGCAATATGTATGATTTCATAGTCGTGGTGATTGTTTTCTTGACAGTCTATTCCATTTCCATGGCAGGATTTGCATAAAGAGAAGAAAGAGTATATATAGGGTCTCAACCTACCTATGCATGCATCTTCCGAAGGCAGTGTGTGGTCATTCAGAATGACAGCTGAATCGCAACCTTGTATCATATTTCCTTCTTTTTCTACCACACAGCACAACCAAACCCATTCACTCATTCCCATAGTCAAACCACAACTATACTCGTCATAGCCATCTATTCAAAAAATACAAACTTTTTACGTGCTGTGATATATAACACACCTTCTTTCAATATTTAAATTCATCAATCTAATTACGTACTATTTGTTCTTTGTTGTTTCTTGTTTGTTGGTGTACTTTCTGCTTCACATTTACTTATTTTCTTGTTGCTTTGCTTCTCGACGACCATGTTATCTTAGAATCTAACAAATTAAATGTGTTTATTTTCGAATATTCTTACTATATATTTTGAATTTGGACAAACCAATATGAAATCTGGACATTTTTTCTAGTCTACGTCATATCACATCTGTCACGTGTTCTCTCTCCTTTTGGTTGTGTTTGGTCCTGATATGTTCACTCCAGTGGATATGTTTTTATTTATACAGCATATTTCATGAGTTACTTTTCTTTACTTGTATGAAAAAATGGACAGTGCAAATTTGAATAGGATTAATTAGAAAACAGTGACTCAAAAACTGCAATGAAATTTTGGATACTTGTATATGTTGTTGGGAAAGTATTGGTAGATTTTATGAGTAGACTGTTTAAGATGAGGACGTATATGAGAAGACAGTGATAATTGGATAACAGGAAATGCATTACTGTTGCTAAACTATCAGAAAGCACTGAACCCCTGATATAGTTTTGCGTATTGAAAGCCGTTATTGTAGAATTGTGAATGGTCTTGTCTAGACCGGATGAGTGAAGTAATTTAATTATTTCTTTACAAATGTTTTCATACATTAATTTTATTATCTTTGTTTATAAACCTGTTTTAATATGTCAATTTGTTCTCTCACACTCGTGTAAGTTTAATCGATTTGTTTTTTTTTAATTTATAATATCAAGTCATAGATTTTACTTATTTTTCTAGACATTTTATAAGTTTTAGATCCATTCAGTTTGGATGTGTCTTTCAATTTTGGTTTTATTAATTATATCTTGAACAAGGTTTCTGATATCTTGTTAAAAACGGACCACCTCAAATTCAATCTTAAATGGCTGATTAGTTTTATAAACGAAATGAATTATGTCTGATACATATATCAGAAACGAGTTTATTATAATACCTTCCTTTTCTAATTAAATGGAATTATCTCTTGTTCTTATATTTCAAACTTATTCTTATTTAAAAAAGAGGGGTATGTATAAGATTCTTTCTCCAAAATTTTCAAGTCATTGTTCATTTTTGTTCCTCCTAAATCAAGAACTAGACTTTCTGAAATTTAGTTCCGAAAGTGTTTGTTTTTAAATTAAATTTGAAAGAAAATTCAGAAATAGTTCAATTACAAAGTGATTAATCTTCTGTAGAATAGAATCAATATTTTAGAAACTAAATTTATAAAAGTTAAAAGTCACTTCTGGATATTTATTTTTTTCAGAATTAAATAGGAGCAATGAAGAGTATAAAAAAACTCAAAGAGAAATTCTTAATAGTTTGAATTGATAATTAATGTAGTAATTTGTTGGATGAAGTTGGGTTGGATGTTGTTCTGGGTGTGTAATCGAAGAGTTGGAAAAGAATTCATATAATTGAAAAAAAAATGTAAAAATGACGATAAATATGGTCCCTCGAGTCAATCCAAAGCTCTTGATCCATTGTTTGGCAAGAATAAGCGTAAAAGGTTGCAATTACTAAGCCACCACCGCTTTCCAATCAAAGAGAAGATGGTATAAGGTTCTTGACTTTGAAACAGCGAATTTATTTCCACAACAACCTCTTCCATTAGAATAATCCAACACTTATTTCTTCCCCCAGTCATTATTAATACACTGCTAGCACTCCCAAGTCACCAACACTCTCCTTTCCTTTCCCCCAAAGAAATGTGGTAAAAGAAAGAGACAAAGTGATCAGAAGCCCACCCTTCCCCTTACCCTTCTCTCTCACTCATGAAAGCCCTAGCATTAAGACCCTTTTCCCTGTCATCTCTCAGACAACAAGATTCCTAATTAAGTCCCCAGCATCTATTCCTTTCCATGTTCCATTTGCTTCTCGTCCGGGGGAATTTCCTTGTACTTTAAAGAACCTCCACACTCACTAAACCCTTTTTTTCTTCACACTATTAATGCAAAAGTTCTTTCTATGCAAAAGCTACCTATATAGCAGGGGATGGGATACATGGTACTCGTCATTCCCTTTTATTTATTTCCCTTTCCTTTCTAGTTCATCTTTCTCACACCCGATTCCTCTTTCCCTTTCCTCCTTTTTTATATATTTTCTTTAATACCCTTTTTTCTTTCATTTTATTGTGTTAACTTCCGATATATGTGAATAATTTTGTACCTTTTCTTTGTACTAGATCCCAACCTCTTATATTAACATTATCATAACATCGGTGAGATGCACAGTTACACACAGGCTAGGGTAGGTGAAGACCCTATATAAGAAGCCACGTTGTGTTGGCCCTTTGAGTTCAGTTCAGACCCAAAAGCAACACCAACAAAAACTACTGCTGCCTCTGGATTTTTTTTTCTCTTCTTGTTGGCCGTTTTTCATATCTAATAACTTTCACTTCAGTATTTTTCCACCATCATCATGGCTTCTTCTAACAGACACTGGCCGAGCATGTTCAAGTCTAAGCCCTGCAACCCTCACCACCAATGGCAGCATGACATCAACTCCTCCCTCATCTCAACTGGTTGCCACAGAAGCCCTTACACTTCAGGTTTGCCACACTTTCAAAACCCTTTCCCATTCTGAACCCAAAGTTCAATCACTTTACCTATCATAATACCCTCTTACGTTACAACATTTACAACCCAGAAATATATGTATCATGCACTTCGCTTTTACTTCCAAGTTGATTTTCATATTCTTTATATACATAAAATATTGGTAGATATCATGATTTACATTGTTATTTAATTTTATGTGTAAATTTCTTAACATTATGTGTTTTATTTTCCCTATTCTTTTTGTTTGTTTCTTTCTTTACCACTACAGGTACGGGTTGTGAAGAGAGAAGTCCGGAGCCAAAGCCAAGGTGGAATCCAAAACCTGAGCAAATTCGGATTCTGGAAGCTATATTCAACTCAGGAATGGTGAATCCTCCTAGGGATGAAATAAGAAAGATAAGGGCACAGTTACAAGAGTATGGCCAAGTGGGTGATGCAAACGTATTCTATTGGTTTCAGAACCGCAAATCAAGGAGCAAACACAAGCTTCGCCATCTCCAAAACACGAAAAACCAGAACCTTGAAGCTCAACAAAACCCCACATCTCTCCCTCAAATCACTGCACCATCATCCTCGTCTTCCTCATCTGAGAAATCCTCTCCAAAAGAATTAATACCTACCAAGGTATTTTCCATCGGATTCTCTAACGTCACCGATGTGGTACCTAATTCTCCGACTACTTCTGTGAACCAGACCTATTTTCAGACTCACAACGAGTCTTCCATGCTTCCACCCCCACCTGCTGCTGCTGCCGCACAAACTGGGGGTTTCTTCTTCCCAGTGCAACATCATGGGCAGGGAGTACCACCTAGTACGGTGGCATCTCAAGGGTTTTGCTTCTCGGAGCTGTCCAATGTTGTTCAACTTCAGTCACCTCCTCAACACAACGTTGGTCCTTGCACCAGTCTCTTGCTCAGTGAAATCGTAGGCCACGGTGGTGCTGCTTCAAAGAAAGATCTGGAACAAGACAAGAGTCTGAAAATAATGCACCAGCCCTCACTGTTTAATTTCTGTGTCACTCCCACAACAACAGCTCCTACTACTGCCTCAGCTGTACCTCCAATCACTACCTCAACCACCACTGTTCTATCCCCCGTCATTGCTCAAGTTCAAGGTAATTTTATTTAGAATTTTTCATTCTCTTTGGATATATTTCTTTTAATACAGTATGAAAAAATTATTTTTATGTTTTCAAAAATTAGTTTAAAACACGAAAAATTAATGAAAAAAAAAGGTATCAGAAAGAGAACATAACATTACTACAAGTTAGTTCATTATTAAATTTGGTTTGCATTACGATTTGCAGAAATGACTTGAACAATTCATTTTTCCCCATGCCCTGAACCACTGGGTAACAAATATACAGTGTGACATTCTTAATGGAGCTTGGTTGCTTGTTACTTTCAATATATATAAAAGAATAGTTATGGATGACAGGATGAGTAGTGTGTACCACAGGAGTAAGAAGAGTATCTTTTGTAAAATGTTTTATATAAAAGGAGAAAAAAAGAGGAAAATACAGAATAAATGGATTGATAAGATAAAAAAATATATGTAAGTTTTAAAATGATTAGGTTGAAGATGATGGGTAGCATGGATTTTGGGTCACGTGTGCATGGCTTTAATTGGCCTTAGCCTATAGTTGACTTGTGGTAGCTTGTGTTTCGACTTGCACATGAGAGATATCTGTGTGTATCACAGGCATGGGAGATCCAGCTGCTGCGGCGAGATCAACGGTGTTCATTAACGATGTGGCATTCGAGGTAGCGGTGGGTCCTTTCAATGTGCGTGAAGCTTTTGGAGATGATGCTGTGCTCATCCACGCCACTGGTCAACCTGTGCTAACAAACCAATGGGGTGTCACTCTTCATTCACTCCAGCATGGTGCATGTTATTATTTGGTGCGCACATTAGACCTGCTTCTGTTGCAATAACTTTTTCTTCATTTTATGTGATCATAACTTTTTTATTATTATTATTATCATTGACATATATATTTCATCATTATGCAGATATAGGAAGAGAAAGCTAAATGATGATGCATGGGAAAGGTTTTAGATATGGTGTTTTTTCTGTCTGTTTCGATCGTTCTGTCCTTTTTTTCTGTTCTTATCTATCTCTACGTGTGTATTACTATTAGGGTTATTAATAGGGGTTTCTAGACACTGCTTTATGAGTTAAAGTATGGATGTTATGACTTTGTTGACCTGATCATGTGTAACTTTTCTCCTAATTTAGTTTAAAGCAAATCATGGTTAATACCTATATATCATGTTATATTTGGGTTATTGTTATTGATGTGTTTTACTCCTTATGCTATTATTGACAATCAGAAAAAGTTACTGGTGATCCGAAAATGAAGTAAGGAACCGTATGGTTTAATCTGCATAGACGATACAGTTAACTATTAGAATTTGAACAAGTGTTGAGATAGATGGTGATGTTCTGATACGTTTTTGCTTGGGGGTTGCGTGTGAATAATCAAGAAGTTACAATTATTAGTTCATGACGCAGCTTTTTTGGACTAACATGTTACATCTCACGAAAATACAAAACTGGTTTTGTTTGGAATTATCGTTGCCATAGGCATATTTAAGGTCCACAGGCTCTTTCGTTAGTCAAGGAAAACTCACTAATTTTGAAATGGAAGAAAAATGTTTATTTCCAAGTACAGTGGTGTTTTTCCTTGCATTTAACTTTATTCCATAATTGTTTACAACTTGGAACTTTTGAATTTTTTGGTCAAATATTAAATCTTTTATTATAACAAGAATTTCATTTAATTTGGCCAATAAGTTGTAATTTCTTGAAGACTACTTAATTTGAGAGTTTATTTCCTAAATTACAAAATGGCATTTCAGGATTTTGGATTGATATAGTGAGTCGTCTTTTTGTGCTTATCTATTTTGACTTAGAATATTTGGGTAATTGTAGAGAAGAAATAGCAAATGAAATGGATTACAATCTCAAAAAGATTAGCACAACGGTGGAGATTCCAACTGAGAAACTCCAGGGCTAGTTTTTGCTAGAAAGTTAGCACAGAAATTAATTACCTTCCCTTAAAGAATGAACAAAGTCCTAGATTCAGTTTCCTTTCATAAAAATCACGAATGCTCTCGACAGTGGTTTAATGCAAATGAGAACTATGAACAACTGTTAAGTTTGGTAGCCTGACTCTGAAATCGTTCAAGAATTGAGAAAGAAAGATATATACGTCAATAAAATTATATTTTAAATCATTTTGACAATTCTAATCTATTCCAATAATGACACTTTATTAAAATAAAAGAGGTATATATATATATATATATATATATTACAAAGTTAATTATTTTTATACTGTTATTTAATTACAATTTTGTTAAGTTTATATTAGTTTTATAAAAATTACTTTTAAAGTCTCGTCAATAATTTTTTTTATTAATTGATAATGGAAATTTGTTTGCCTAATATTAGATTTTTCTTTTTTTCTTTTCATTGAGTCCTACCCTGTCTATGTGTTAGCAGAAGTCTCTTCTTTTCTAAGATTGGGAAATAATGATTTCTTAATTTGAATGTTTTAAACCATGAAGTTGTTTTATCAGTTCTATGATACTTTTTTTCTATGGGAATTCAAGACCGTTGTAGTGTAATTTTAAACAATTTTGGAAATATAATCATATGTCCAATAGTTAAGATAAAAAATATTTTAAAATAGTTTAAAATCCTAAATTAATTAAAGATAAAATCAATTTAGATATAAATCTTATCACACAAATCACAAGTTAAATTAAATTTATAATTTATTTCTTAATATAATATTAAAATAATTTAAAATATATAATTAAATTCATCCACATTAACAAATACTTTCTCTTGCATCGAAACTCATAAAAATCTTTAAAAGATAGAAAAGAAACAGAAACTCGCATGATAAATAAGCAAAACCCGAACTCATAAAGATCTTTTAAAGAAAGAAAAGAAACATAAAGTTTAGTTAATGATTTTTTTCTTTCTCTGGTAATTATGTTAATGTTTGAGAAAAAAATTGATAAAAAATATAAATTCACCAAAAAATATATTAAGAAGTATAGCTTTATTTTTTCTTAAAATCTCTCCAATTATTTAGCGTGCTAAAATATTTATATATCTCAAAAAGTAAATTATCATGTATTTGTTTTTATAAATTTACTTGAGGTACGAAGTTAGGCAAATGTTTAAACTATAGAATACATGTAGAGTTTATGATAAAGAAAGAGCATTAAACATGTAAGTTTATGAGTAGGGGAAAAGTATTTGGAGATACTCGGAGATATTTGTGCCAAGATTCTTTGACACATTTGATATTATTCTTATTTTTTTTTTTCAAAAGTATACAAAAATTTATATTTTTATAACTATTTTATTTTTATACTCAGTATTAAACGAACGTAAAAATGTATTATAATACTATTGATTTTAGAAGAAAAAATGGTTGGTCTTGGAAAAAAGGAGGTAAGCTGAGTGTATGGCATATAAAAGCGCATCTTGTTTACACGAATCAGAAAGGTCTGACCCGAAACGGAATGCTACCAACGTTTTCACACAAACTGCCAAATTGAATTTTGTCTCCACCCACCTACCTAACCAAGAAAGAACCTACAAACACTGCAAAAACATGTCTTCAACTCACTCACTGTTCTTTTCTTTCTTCCTATAATATGTATATTGAAGCACATCTCATCAAATTAACAGGAGAGTGGTTGTTGACGAGAGGTCACAACTCAGAGCTTGTACAGTCACAGATTGGTTTACGTGTTCTTCCAACACAACAGTGTTTCCTCTCATGTTTTGATGCCTCGATTTGACACACCGATTTCGATATGTCTCTGCACTCCACTCTCTCTCTCTTTCTTCACCTCCAATTAATCTTCCTCATTATGCTATGCTACGCTACGCTATGCTATGCTATGTCACACCCCAACATCCCTTTTCTTTTCTTCCTATCTTTTCTCCTATATATCATCTAATCTTATGCTATGCTATGTCAATTTCCTGCATATCTATGTATTTCTGTATGGTATACGAATGAACTGAATTGAATGATGATCACAAAGTTGTAATGATTAGCACGATGACTTGTGGCTACTTTGCTAGTGTGATGTGAACGGTATTTCTGATTGTGTGTGTTTAGTTTGATTAGGAAGCATGGTTGAGGAAATTATAAGAAGAAGCATGTGAGAGCTTTTGGGTGGCAGAGATAGAGTTTGTGATGGTAACATGGAGGTGATGTTTGGTTTGGATATGGTACAGAAATGAGCATATTGGTGTGTGGTGGAGCCTAATATGAAGAAAAGAGTGACTTTATGTTGTACTTGGTGCAGCTATATCCCCAACCATACCAGGGTGTTAGGTAAACAAACAGTCACTTTGCTTCCTTCACTTCACTCACTCTGATTCGATTCTTCGTCTCCCTTCCATTCATTTCTTCAACTTCATCTTAAACTCCTCTCTCTTTGGACTCAATCATCACTTTGCTTGGAACTTGCTATCACTTTTTAACTTCATCCCTCGACTGCTTTCTTCTTCTTCAAAAACACTCGTACGTATATCTTAAAAGCCAGTCATGAAGATTTTTCTTTCCTTTCTTATCATCACTTGTTTAATAATATCATCTCATAAATGCTTTACTACACTACGTAATTAAACATATAATTTCTCATCTTATGATAAAATTGCCATGGAATAAAGTGTTATCCCTATTTTAGGACGTCCATTTTTTCATATAATATTTTGGTTCACTAAAACATCAACCCATATTATAAAAACTCAAATCTCAATCCTTCAAAATGATCCTAACATCACTTCATGTCCAACACATCAACCCAAAAACCTAATTTTACACCAGTCCAATACAGATGATTCACCAGAGGTAAATATCTCTCTATGTATTATATTCAAAAGAATATGCTGGGTTAAGCATAAAGGCTTGAACCAACTTTTGATCAAAAGTAGTAAACAGTACTCTTTTAATAAATATTATAAATAATGCGTCATTTGTAAAAATTTTACGGACAATGATAAGAATTTCATCAAATTCTGATTATGATCATGAAAAGTAAACAATGTTATTTGAATAAATATCGTGAATAATATATCAATTTTTTTATTAAAAACTGTACTATTTTGAAAAGAAAATTCAAATATAGACTATGTTGAGACATTAATTTCTGATTTATTAGACAAAAAAAATCCCAAAATTAGATATTATCATGAAAAATAATAAAATGAGAGTATGTGTGTATTATATATTCAAAATAGTTATTTTTATTCCAGTGAATGGTAAGATTTTACCTTTTACTTTATATATTTTCTTTTTATTTCAAAGGAGTTAAATTTGGAATCAAAGTGGTGACGCATCTCTTTCAGATATACGATACCTTTGTATAAAAATTAGCAGCAGTATGTAAAAGCAAGATCGTGTTGGGAGTGAAAAATCCAAAGTAAATTCATAATTTATGGTTTTACATTGGTCAATTTGAGTCCAGTTTGAGCAAACAAATTATTCAAATTATAGTAAAGGAAAATTGATTTAGATGAGTTGAGAGAGATTCTTCATTCTATTAATAAAAAATGTTTTACTGTAATTTATAATTTGATGGTGAAAAACATTTTCAAAAACATAATTTCTTACTTTGGTTCTAAATGATATATGAAGTTGTATTCTTGAAATTTAGAATATAAAACTCTCTTTTGTTTATTAGTTGATTGAATTTCAATAAAAAGCTCCAATTGTTACCTTTCTATGCTAGCTTATTCTGACATAAGTAGTACTCTTGGGTTCTTCTCGTTGTCTTCTGCTGTCGCACTTTATCTTTGTTGTGGATTATGAGCATATTATTTGTCTGATTTTGTCTCTCATTCTTTGAGATAAGAAACTCCTTTCTATGCTTTGATTTATTGTGGTTCTAACTTGAATTCATCCATCAATATATATATTAAAATACGGAGGGATGCAAGGTGCCTCATTTCTCCTATATATATTAAAATACTTGGATTGTGTATTTTAATATTATTTATTCATGGTTATGAAAGTAATATGTAGTTATCAAGAATCCCTTATGTGCACTGTCTTAACTCAATATCAGGATATGTATAAGTCACAGTTGGAAATTTGGTTAATTACGTTGCCATGTTTTGTACGTCAACAAAACTGAAATTAAGTTTATATTGAATATAGTTTCATTTCGATTTCTATTAAAACAGTGTTTACTGTCTCATATGGCTAAATTATATTGTAAGAAAAAATATTATTTAAACAAAAAAAAAATTCATTTAAAAAAATTGTATTAAATATTTTTTTTTACTATTTAAAATTATTTTAAACAAAAAAATGTTATTCATAAATATTATTAAGGACAATTTGGTAATTTTTAAGTTCTATCTATTAAAATATTTTTTTCAATATATCACATCAGTAAAATTTTACATAATTTTTCACAAATTTTACTTTTAAATCCATTCTCAATCATCTCCAAATCTCCAAAAAAAAATTACACAATTTACTCTCGAATCTTCTCATAACGTAATAAGATGTTCTAAATAATGAGACTCACTTATTTTAATATTAAAAGTTCAAAGCATAAGTAAAATTTCAATTAACAAGTTTCATTATCTAAAAAAATATTATCTCTTTAAAACTCTTTTCTAAGGATTTTATACCATCTTTCTAAGTCTTCTCATTCATTGTTCATTTGTCTAAAGATCAGGGAGTGTCTAAGTGATCATTGAGACAAAGTCTTTAAATTTATCTTACCAGTTCTTGTAAAAGAGTAAGATAGTTTAGGCTTTTTTCGTGAGTTTGTACATTTTTTCATGTATGTGAGTAATGTTCTATTGCATGTGTCATATGAGTCTTTTATAAGAATCTATACTAATCAATGGTATTAACAATATGTCCTGATCATTATTTTCTGGTTTATAGGAAAAGATAGAGTTCCATGAGTTGATAGAGTTATTCTAGATTTCATAGTACAATTTGAGCTTCTAATAAATAAGGGAAATTAAATATTATTATTCTCAAATTCTGATATAGTTAGAATTGTGTGTGCATGCTTGACAGTGTGTGATTGATTGAAATTACTGAATTTGTTGATTGAATAACTGTTAAATTTTTTTTGAGTATGATCATGATGGTGTGTTGTTTGATATGCTTTACTTAGTCTAAAATTGGTAATCTATAATAAAAACACTCTTTTGTGACATTTTATTTTAATGTAGTAACTTTTTGCAAAGGCATATTTCTATATAAAAGCATATTTGAAGAGGCTAAAAGTATATTAGTCCATAGATTTATATGCCTATAGTATAACATATTTACATTTGTTTATAAGAATGAAGTATGATTAACAAAGAAGTTGTAAAATTACTCTTATATAAATAAATGAAAAAAAAAATGTTCTGCTTTTCGTTGTAACACTATTAAGTTATTTGATTATGTATTAAAAAATATTTAGTTATTTGACTGTTTAATAGGATAAACGAGCTCAATTGTAACCTATCTAATTAAAAATTTATTTAACTGAAAAATTTAAAACTTGTATATCATCTTTACAATGCTTAAGTAACAAACTTTTTATTCACTTTGTTATCATCGTTATTTTACTATAATTTGTCCTTTAATTTGTTTATATTAAAAAAAACTTGAAAAATACTATATCAATTGCATTTTCATGAGACAAACATTTCTCTATAACAAGGAGTATACAAGTTAAATTGAGGTGAATTTAGACAAACTTATCATTGAATCTAATGAAAAAAAATTCTGAGGTCAATTGAGTAATAATTATTTTTATTTATTTTTTCTAAAATTTGTATTTTTAAAATATTTTTCGTTATTTTGGAATAATTTTTAAAAAGTGGATTACATTATTTAACATTTTTAAACAGTCATTTAATCAATAAAATAATATAAAAATGTGATTATTATTTTTATTATTATTATTTCATAATTTTGGTCTACTTAAGTTAAAGCTTGAATTCAATTTACAAAACTCGTCCAATACATAATTCTTAAAATATTGGATGAGATTGAGTAAAATCTCAATTTAATCTATTTAAATTAAATTGAATGATGAGATTATTTGACCATATAAACTCTTATATAATATAAAACAATTAACTAATCATATTCATGCACTTATATAACTCTGTCATTGAAGATGATAAAAAGACACTTTTTTTCCATTAAAAGTTTGACAGCAAATTAGTCATCAAAATAGAGAAAAATACTATTTAAACAAAACGGTCTACAGATAAAAAGAAATTAATATAAGAATGACAGTGTAGCAACTAGGATTAAAAAAAAACAGTTGGAAAAATGGAGTTAATTGTGTTTGTCATTTTACAGTTAACCAGACTGTCATCATTCCCTTTAAACAATCTGCCAAGAAAGAAACCCACATTTCCAGCTTCGCAACAATGATCTTGTTACCAATAGTTGTTGCAAATCTGGATTTTAAAACAAAGTATCTTTCTTTGATAATAAATATAGATTCGCCGCAACCCATTTGAATATCTGATAGAAGGGGCGTACCAAAATCAGTTTATTTTCCCTTGATTTAGTCTGCAGCAAACCCCAAAGAGAAAAAAGGGTTTGCGTGTAGTGCTAATGGGGACGTATAGAGCCGATGAGGATTACGATTACCTATTCAAGATTGTTCTGATTGGGGACTCTGGCGTTGGAAAATCCAACATTTTGTCGAGGTTCACCAAGAATGAATTCTGCGTTCTATCAAAGTCTACGATTGGGGTTGAGTTTGCAACCAGAAGCATTAGGGTGGATGATAAGGTTCTCAAAGCTCAGATTTGGGACACTGCTGGCCAGGAAAGGTGAATACTTTTATGAACTTCTCTTTTACATCCTGGGGTTTGCGAAGGGATTATTATATCTCTGTTACGGTGTTATCATTGGGCTCTAAATTAGCTTCTTATATCTAAATGACTTATGAAGTTCTTGCATTGAAGATTTTTTCCATTGTAAAAATTTGTATTGGGTTGCGAAAATGTATAGCAACATGATGAACAGTTAGACATTGCTGATGAAATTTTAAAGTAAGGCAACTTTATTTAATTTTTCTTTACTCAGGTACCGATCGATCACAAGTGCATATTATCGAGGAGCTGTTGGTGCACTGTTAGTATATGATGTTACCAGGCATGCTACATTTGAGAATGTGGAGAGATGGTTCAAGGAGCTCAGAGATCACACGGATAACAAAATTGTTGTTATGGTTGTTGGGAACAAAGCAGACTTGAACCATCTGCGAGCCGTTTCCGCCGAAGATGCTAGAACTTTTGCAGCACGGGAAAGAACTTTTTTCATGGAAACCTCTGCCCTCGACTCCACGAACGTTGAAAATGCCTTCACAGAACTGCTCACACAGATCTACCATGTTGTAAGCACGAAAGCCCTTGAAATCGGCGATGATCCAGCAGCATTACCAAAAGGACAGACCATAAATGTTGGGTCTCGTTATTATTATGTATCAGATGAGAAGCAGAATGGATGCTGTTCTACTTGACCATGCAGCAAAAGCCTCTGTATTTTTACTTTAAACCTATGTAGAGTCCAGCCTTAAAAATGGTTGTCCAGAGAAAATTGCAATCTCAACTTTCTACTTTGCTAAGTAGAGAAATCTGTTCATTGAGTGTCAAATGTTAAGGAAACATGCACTTATATTTTCCTTTATGCCTATTTTGGTTGTTGATTCATTAAGGTATTATCTTATCTATGACTGCAGATTCAGCTTTCCAAATTTATCTTGACATTTTTTCGAAGTTAAATTCTGAATTTTCAAGGGATTTTATTTGCTACACCCCCAATTTCTTCACGCACCCCCTGAAAAATGACATCCGAAAATTTTTCGGAACAAATTTTCTGAAATTTTTTAAATATGATTTCTAAAATGAGATTTTCGAAACGCTTGAAATACATTCGAGAATAAAATTTCTGAAACAAATTTTTCGAAACATATATAGAACAAGTTTTCGTAACACTCCTACATGAAATGTGTTTCTAAAAGAGCTTTTGAAACAAGTTTTTCTCTTCCTCTTTTTTTTTTCCCCCGCAGTAGCAGCAACGATGGAAATGATTTTCAAGTAATGTGATTTGCACATTGTTTCTTCAAAACTTAAAGTTGAACCGGATTTTTCAGGTTACAAGGCTTGCAAGAAGGCCATTTCTTCCTGCACCTCCATAATTTCAAGTTGACACCCTCTCAATTTTTGTACTCTAGAGTAGTACAAAACAAAAAATGCATTACTGGATTACCTAATCCTGAATCCAAATGTATTCCGAATTGAACAACATATAATAAGCATAAGAATCCATAAACCTATTTCTTTAAGATTTTAGGTTGAAAATAATATTCTAATTTCTTATATATAAATTTGTACAAAACTCTTAAACGTCAAATCTCTCCTCCAAAAACCTCGCAGTAATCAGACCATAATCACCCGTAAATTTCAAATCGGGATGAAGCATTGAATATGCACAATCTTTTTCCTCACATTAATTACATGCCTAAAGCATTTCAATATACATAATCTTTTGCCTTACATCCATATCAAAACGGGCAAAAACTACTTTAAGAGAAGCAAAATAAGAGACGTGATTATAAACATCAAACTTCCTTATTAGACCATTGGAAGCAAGGTGTCAGGGTATTGCTAACTAAATGCGGTTCTTGCGTGGCTTGATTCCAGTGATTGGTGCCTGCAGTTGGATGTTTTCATGAACAAATGAAGGATGTGATATTGGGAAGATGTCGACAAATTTGTTTTATGAATGCAAAGAGCAGTTAATCTAATGAACATGAAAGCAAGGAAGCGAAAACCCAAAATTTCCCTGCATTATCGATTCATCAATCTGAATTCTTATTCACTGTATTTCAGGCTTCTAATTGAACAACTGTTTTCAATTCGAACATTTGGTTAAAATGGGACACGCCTAGTGAGGTGAAGACTGTCATAATCCAGTAAGACAGGAAGAACAATGGTCTATCAATTTCTCCTGTTCATTATTCCATTCTATTCTATAACGTACCTGTTAAACAAGGGCAAATCTTTTAACACTCCTAACATGTAATCCTATTTTAATTGTATGCGTAGAAATAAAAAAAAAAAAAAGTGGCCAATTAAGAATAATAATACTACAAAGGGAGTACGTATAGAAGTACCAAAAACTTGCTCCAAGGATACACGTAACAGTTCATACAGATTTCATCAGAGGGATAAACAGTTGTACTAAAAGTATGAAAATATTTATGAAATATTAATAATTGAGCTCAATTCCAGCCAGAATATATATGCAGCAAACAATATGCCGCCAAGTTCAATCAGCCCAAGAATAACAGGAAACAAAATTGACTACAGTCTGCAAATTATGTGATATTGTACATTAAAAGTGTCAGAATATGATGAAAAATTTGCATTTCAAAAGACCCCGGAAACATCAGAGGAGCAAAACACAAAACTCAATCCATGTAACACACAAAACACAAAGTAGAGAAAGTTTCTAAAGGAGATAGCAAAATAGCGTACAACACAGTCATTTCATTAATGCACCAAAAGGGCGAAGAGAAGTGTTTTAGGCTTTTTTATTGCCTTATACACAATCATTTCTCACTAGCTAAATTTAAGTCTAACCAAGCATGGCTAAAGAATGAAATCTTCCAAAGCCATCTTTAATTAAGCGACAATGTTATATGTTATGGTGATTGATGGATAAAGCTAGAAACCGCAGGATACTCTTCGAGGGACATGTTTGCAACAGTATTACACCCATGAGAGCTAAGGTGCAATAGTTCATCAATCAATACAGTGTCATAAACAAAAAGCTTTCTTGAATAACTGGATTTGAGTTTTTAACATCAGTTACAACCTTTATCTCCATAGACCACAACAAAAAACCACGACTAGTGACACTTTAAATCAGAAGCATTGGCGGACATGACTCCGAATTCACTTTCTACCGACAATAGGGGAAAATCAACACTTTAGTGCCATCAAAGTATTACACAAATTCACTAGCCCTAACATCACACCAGTAGAGCTAATTCAACCAAAAACCCTCGTAATTGAACCATGGAAGCAGATTAAAAGAGAAACTGTAATAATTTTCCCACTCTCCCAATTCAGCTTCTATCGACAATTCCCAACATCCAAAATATCAATTAAAAAATAAAATTAAAGGGGTCCTAAAAAAGCACACGAAGAAGAATGAAAAATAAAATGAGAGCTTGAAACAGAAAATTTACGGAAGTCGAGAAGTGACCTGAAAAGCAGGTAAGGGACGTCATGGGGAAGTATTGTTGTCTTTGTCGTTCTGAGAGGAGGAGGGGTTGTTGGTGTTGAAAGAGGGTATGGGATTTTCTCCCTTGATGATCCAGCCAAGGGCAAAGAAGGCAGTGCCAGCAAGAATGGCAGTGCCCCAAGCGTGAGAGTACCATTTACTGTACTGCCTGATGGCATACCTCCATTGATCCCTCAGAGTGGCAGCATCTGGAATCTCTTTCTCTGGTGGGTTGATATGGCTCTTCAGCCCCGAAAACTTTTTTGGACCATCATCGCTAGAAGTGGGAATCCCACCTGAAGAAGGAGGAGAAGGAGAAGGGTGATGCGTTTTTGGTTCATTCTCAGTCATCTTGTGGTGTGACTCCAATGTTTTCCTTTCACTTTGCGTCTCAAATGCACTTTACATCATAGATAATCTCAACTTCAAACCGTGAAACATAAAAAGCATTTACCTTCGTAGTTTCTTTTTCTTTTATATATATATATATATATATATATATATATATGGTTATCTTAACAATTTTTTTTAATAATTTCTTAACAATAGATTACTTATTATTATTTTATTGATCTATATATTTAAAACAGATTAATCAAGAGCGTAACACCGATTCTAAAATAGTTGTTAAAAAAGAATTTTTCATATATATTATCTTCTTCTAATTTGTATTTAAGATTTATTTCATATTTTTTTATTATAAATAAAATATTATAGATGTATATTTAATATAAAAGAGATTAATTTTACATATAACTTATATTACATTATTTAACATGATATTTAATCATTATATATAATTAAATATTATATCTATCAAAATTTATTATTTATTAGACATATTTTTTTATTTACTTTTTGGTCACTCATTAATATTTGATTTCACATACAGTATATATTTTGATACAAAGAGTGTTCATTAATATTTGATTCCACGTACAAATTGCATATATTTTAATATAAGAGGTATGTTAAAAATTTCACTTGACTAAAAATAAAATTATAAATAAATACAAATTTAATTTATAAATCAATTTTATGATATTAAATTAGGTTTAAAATTTAATAATATCATTATTAAATATATTATCTTTAGTTAATTTATTATTATTATTTATATTTTGGTCTTAATCTTTATTATTTTTATTATAAATAAAATATTTTGTATGTATATTCAATTAAAAAAAATTAATCAAATACTTTCCGATATTGAGTAGTTTTGAATGTTAAGCACAAAAATTAATATTAAGTGTGTGTATAATAAGTTATTCATTATTTTTATTTTACGATTAGATTATACTTTCAGTCTCTCACGATTGATGTGATTCTGATTCTAATATTTCTCAAGTAGTCAAATCGATTTATTTTTTTTCCATCTGTAAACACATTTATTAATTATATTTTATTTAATATTTAATTAACTTAACACTTTCATTCAAATTATTAGTAAGATTCTAGTACGTATTAATTGCCCCAATTGATTTTTGATTAAATTATTTAAGCCACTTTTACTTGAAAGAAGCTAGACAATTTCACATTAAATAGATAAGGTAATGTAATGGTTTGGTTAATAAATTACTGTTTCTGTAAGCAATTTTTTTCCGACCAAATTAATGACTTAAATATTACACCATTTGAAACATGAAAAATGAAAGAAATTTTGAGAGAGAAGATTAAATCACGAGGTACTGAAATGAACTTGTTTTTAAACAAGGTGAGTTCTTCCTGCATCAATTTGAGTTTTGTTCACAGTAATGAAATTGCTGAAAAAAGGAAAGAAAAACAGATGTGTGCTGTTGTTGAATATCATACTTCAATACTTACATTCATTCAAATATTACTGCAATTCACAATTCACAAACTATGTTACATGACAAGAACAAAGATATAAATACAAGCTTCCAAGAATCAATTTAAAAATTCAACTTGAACCTTCATTCTCTACAAAGCAAGTTTTTGTAAAGCACCTGCTATATAAGGATTCGAATCCAAAATTGGCACCAGCAGATCTCAGGCAATGGATCTGGAGAGAGGAAAAAATTACAAAAGAAAAATATACCGAAGCCTATTGAGGTTCTACCCTTGTTGATGGAAACATTCCACTATAGCTAAAATCTTCTTCCCTGTAAGGATGTTGGGCATTTCCTCCACCTGCTTCCTCGTAAGTTTCTGATGTTGTAGCTGATTCAGAATTCGGGTTCAATCCAACAAGCTCGATTATGCTCTCAATCTCTTTTACAACCTCAGCCATTGTAGGCCTCTCAGCTGCATATTCT